AGGGCAGTTCTGGGATCAAAGTTAGTTTACAAATTTTATTTAACAAAGAAAATACTACGTGTTCAGTCCTAGGGTCAGAGTTCACTTCTTAGAACGACTGTGGGTGGCACTCTCACCACCTGACTTCGGTTTGCCTGTTTGTAGAGAGAGTCGCCATTTTGTATTTTATTTTGACTCGGTTCTTGGTCCCCCAACTACCTACAAGTCTGGATTTTTTTACACGCAAATGATTTTGGCACCTAATACTCTGTGCCAAATATCAACTCTCGATATGTACTCCATACCTCTATGCTGGTAACATAAAATGGCAGTACGATTTTATAAACAAGACATAGTCTTGTCAACAAAAATCACAGACCTATCAGAGCTGAAGATACACAAAAAATAGGTTTGAGTTAGGATACTGACAATTTTGACTTAATGCAAGCATATTATATGAAATCTGTGCCAAGACCAGTAGACAGTTTCAAATTAATGCAATTTGACTTAGTGAGGTTTACTGCATATGAAGAAGTAAATAGGTAAAATGTAAGTACTTTAAAAATAAATTATTATTGTCTTATAGTTGAACTATTAAAGTAGTTTTCCAAATTCTCGGCATTAATAAATATTACACATTAATTCAAATTTGAATTATTATTATTTTTTAATTAAAAATTAACTTGCCTAACTTCAACTTACATCGTCTAAATTTGTGTCTTCAAAATTAGTAACATCTACAAAAGGATCTTGAATGCCATCTTTTAATGCATTTTTGATATCTTAAAAAAGAAAATACTGATAAGTTAACAAACCATAGTGCATAATAAAAAAATTTTCAAAAACTTTATTACCTTGCTCATCATATTTAACACATTCTGTAAAAATATCTTTTGTTCCAAGACTTAATCTATCTCTATGAAAATAATGAGATTGAAAGAAACGTGTCCAAAATTCACTTTCTGATAACTTGTTAGGAACATTTTCCATGTGCTTTTTTTTAACTATTAAATTAAAATTATTATTTTTTAAAAATAAAGTATAAATGAAATATTACATCAAATAATCCATTATTTCAAATTGTGTTGAGTGACTAATGAAACACAAACTTTGGTTAAAATTATTTATACTTTAAATTAAAACCTCACATTTAATTACAATACAATCAATTTTCTAAAAGACTGAAATAAAATTTATTAATATAAAATAGAATTATTATTATTATAAATTTTTAAAAATTTTTGGTTCGAAACTTAGAAAATTGATTTTACATAAATTAAAAGAATAGTTTTAATTTAATATATAAATAATTTTAATTAAGAAACATTTTTGAAACAAAAATCTTCATTGAAACTGCTTTTACAAAGAAAGCTGCTTGTCATAACAAATACACCACTTTTATATAAGATTAAAATATCAATTCCTTCCTTAAAAATTTTAACTTTCAGATGAAAATATTACTACATACATGTTGCATAAAATTAACACACAGTATATACATGATCTTTAAAGAATAATTTACTTAAATAAATTAATACTCAAAAATACCTTAGGAAAATATCTTTATATGTATATGTTTTGCAATTAACAAAAATATTAAAATATTTGTTAAAAAAGTATAGATATTGTTAAAAAAGAACTAGAACAAATAAATGATTAGTCACTTTTTAAAGTAAAGAATTGTTAAAATTTAAAAGAGATTAATCATTATTTATTTCTATTTATAAAAAAAAAAATGAAATTATTATTATTATTATAAATCTTTATCATTTGAATTAAAAAATACCTGCTGGATATGTCCTAAATATTGATTCTATGATATCAGCAGTTATATTATATTTTAAACCATTACAGCCATCTGTTTGTGGTTTAATATCTGCTAAAAATGCTGCAGACACACCTACTTCTTGTTGTTCATTACCTTCTTTATTATTACTTTGCCTTTTCTGTAAAAATGAAAATTTATATAAATGATCAATATACATCTAATCATTTACAGTTAGATCAGAATATATTAGTTGAGTTACTAGAAACTTATAATACTATCATTATAATTACATCAACATATAATGCTAAATATATTACTTTATAAATTTATAACAAACTTATAAAATTTAATAGTTGAACACTTTACTTGCATTTAATACATAAAATCATTTTTGTTTTAGTTTTTCCCATATTACTAAAATATCAATTCCAGGTATTACAAGCTATGCATAATATTTTTCATCAATTATTATATAACAATTATTTGTAAAGTAGAACATTGGCTGTAATACTTAAGATCAATTTTGTCATAAGTTGAATATTGCATCCATATCTACACAAAGAAACACTATGTAGCACAACTTTGAGTAACTTGACCTGCATCAAGCATTTGATCAATTTTAGTTTATGCTTTGGCATTGACAATACAACACAAAATCTCAGAAGATACTGAAAGTTTGTTCTACACAAGCAAATCAGATTTCACTGATGTTTTAAAAAGTTATGATGCAAAAAAGTAAATTTTTTGTCACAAAATATACCATTTAAAAATTTTTTGTTCTGAAAATTGGCTAAAAACAGAAAAAAGGTATGCCTTATATTCAAGAAGATATTACGTTTCCATCTCAAGGAAAAGTATGGCAATTAGTCAAAAAAATCACTCCCAAGAAAGTTTTACTCAGGACCTTGAAACATCAAGAAATGCAAAAAAAATTGGGGGATTTTTTCTGTATGTATGGACGTGTGGGGCACGATTTTGTTCACTGTGTTTGAAGCTTAATAACTCCTGTGCTTTTTGTCAAAAATTTTTGAAATTTTGCAGGGAGGTTTGTATATTAGGAGATTGATGCTATTAAATTTTGGTGGTTAAAGGTTGATAGGTTAGAGAGATAAAGGGAATTGTGTGTCATATCTCAAGTAGGGTCAGACTTAATGTTGATTTTACACATTACTAACATTTACAATTTTTTATGAAAATCATCCTTACCCTCAAAATTAAGCTTTTTGCCATTTTATAATAATTAAAAATATAAAAATGTTTTTAATAAAATATTATAACAGATGATGACACCAAAATTTAAAATGTTGCTAGGAAAGTTAAGTAACTCATTGCAGAATTTTTTTTACTAAAAATGAGTTCCAAAAATAGGAGTGCTGCTTATATTCTGATAAATACTGTACTTTCATCATGTATAAAACAGATACCAATGTACAGGAACTTTGTGACATTTGATTTTATTTCACTATACAACATGGACTTGGGATGCATTTGGGATAAAATTCCTTCCAGCCAATCATACATATAGTCCTGTATCATATTACAAGTTTACTTTTCACACTGGTTTCAATCAGTATTGAGCCACAACAACCAAAGATTAAACTTAAATCAGCTATTATTTAATTATAATTAGTTTTATAAAAAAAAATAAATTACATGCAACTTGATTTTTTTGCTTTAAGTGACCAATAGGTATTAATTATTATATAAAAATAAAAGTCATTTTGATTGTTTGAATAATTATGACAAATTTGTATGTAACGTAATGAATGTTTCTATAAACTTTTATAATAATCTATAAGCTATAAATTTTTGATACAAAGACAGTTATAAAAAAATCTGACTTGAATATAACAAACTGAAAATAACTTACAACTAATCAAAAATTCATTAATTTCAAAGAAAACTACGTCTAGAAATAATATTTATTTAGTTTTATGATGTATTAATGATCTAAAATGCTATTTCTGTATAATTTTAGAACGTTTTTAATTAATTAAAACATTTACAAAATTTTAAGGAACATTATACAGTATGTAGAATGTTCCTTAATTAATAATGAAAGGCTGAATAACTTGCAGTTCTTGAAATAATAAAGTTTTCTTAATTTACTAATAAATAAAAATAAAATATATTAAAATGCAAATTTTAATTGGTTGAAATATATTATATAGATTATATTTCAACATAATAAAATAATTTATGATTCTTAGACATTTACAAGTTGTTAACCAGTACACACGTTGAGACATTATATTGAAAAGACAATACCTACAGCCGCATGATTGGACCAAAATTCTTCAGCTGTTATCACTTGACTCATTACCAGATCTCGATATAGTTGAAACAGAATAGGATCCTCTTGCAATATTCTGTTAAATAAAAAACTTTTAGAATACTATAGAAACATAGAACATATTTCAAAATATATTAGAAATTTCATTGGCTTTTTTGTTTAGTTATTTTGNAAAGTTCAGCGAATTTTTCACAGAAAAATAATTTATCAGGAAACACGTGCACCCCCATTTGATGTGCAACCATTAACCCCGTTCAGGTTAATGGTTGGACCACTAGAAGGTTTTGCTGATGGTTGGGCAAAAGCATTCTTATGTGAAGTATATCAAATAACTGGAGATCTGGCATCTTCGCTTTCTTCCCTTATGTTTATAGGCATGGTGCTCCATGACGAAAACAAGCTTAAGCAATGGCGTTGTCGAATGGTGCACACTCAGTAAGTAATCCTACAATTTTTTGTTTATAGCATAGTTTATATGGATTATTCCCAAAAAATTATACGTGTTTCAGAAATGTTGAGTCAAATTAGTCTAGAATCGATTAATTTTATGGAAGAAAACCTTTCAAACAGCCGTAAACTGCATATGTGCTGAGCTGTGATTGGCTCATATATTTAAGGACTCGTAGAACATCAATTTCATAAAGAACGGAACATATCTACCATGTTATAGGGGGGTCGACTATATTCCAATATATTTACAAATGAAGAGATTGGAATTATAATCATTCTTTATAACAAAATGATTAACTTTGTCCTGAAATTTATTATTTTGTAAATTATTTCATTAAAATTTCATGTGTGTGTGTTTTTTTTAATATGCATAATTAAGATTTAGTTTTAATTTCATAATCAATAATAAAGTTTTTAGCTATGCCACTTTTTAATACTTACACCCAAATTATAACGTTCTCTGAGCAGACGTTCTCTGAAAGGCTGTATTTTTGAAACTTCAAATCTTTCCAATGTAGATTGCATTCGAATTACCTATAAAAAAAGTATTTTTATAATTTTTGGAATTTATTATATATTTACTTTAAAAACTTTCAAACCTTCTCTTCTAATTGTGAAGTGGTGGTAGGAAAACACTGCCAAAAATGTCGAATTAATTCACATAGAGCAATATATAACTGCTGTAATTCTTGCTGAATTTCTATACTTATCGTATCTACAAATGAAAATCATTTAATCTCGTATCATTAAATAATGTTTAAAATAACTTTTTCTTAAAAATCAATTAATAAATGTTAAAATATGATATTACCTTTTATTGATATATGATGAGAATTTTTCATAATTGCTCCACCAGGTGATAATTCTCCAAGTGCAGCTGTAGCAGGTTGTGATAACTGAACCTAGATTAAAATAAATTTAATTTAATATAAGAAAATAAGTAATATATTTATATATAATCATAATCAAAAAATGTCATGCTGCCAATTTTTTATCTAAAACCCCTGGAAAAAAGTATCTAATAATTTGCTAAGAAGAATTATGAAATCTTAAACATTTTATTACAGTCAAAGAAAATATTTGATAGATATGAAACACAGATCTAGAATATGACAGTTTAACAAAAATAATCTCAATAGTTCTACAAAAAATACAAATCTATTGCAAATTTCTCTTGGAAAAAGTTTCTAATGACAGATACACTAGGAAATAAATATCTAAAAATATAAACAAAGTGTTCATTAGTCCCTTACCTGAAAAAAATAAGACTGTTCCATTTACAAGTTACAATCTGCATATCTTTTTAGTATAATTTGTTATATTCTTAATAAAATTTTGAATGAAAACTAACTTAAAAATAGTTCTCCAACTATTGTACAGTTATATACAGTATATCACAACTTTTAGCTTGGAGTAAGGCCAATACATTTCTTCACAGATACCAAGTGGTGCATAGAAAATCTAATGCCTGTTATAAACTAAATTAAATATCTTAGCATCATATTTTAAAAAAGAACAAATATTGTTTTTTATGTTGTTTCAATTAAATAACAGATTTTACTGATTATTATGCAGTATCAGAACTAACTTTTCACTTGTCCTCTGCAATGCTTTATTTTTAGGCCCCTTAATTTTTTGAGGAAAAATAATAATAAAACTATCAACTGAATAACTGTATCAACTGAATAAAGTGGATAAACGCCAAGTGTTTTAATAATAACACAGTCTTGTGTTCAATAGTAAATAATAAAACTGTTGTTTATAATTTTTGTGTACACAACAAATATTCAAGATCATTCACATGTATTAATAAAATATTATTACAGTATATTTGACAATTTTTTTTTTTTTTTTTGTCAGTTCCATTTCAAGGCTCCCTTTATCCCAGGCCCTGTGCCTGTGCACCTACCAAGTAATGGCATTGTTTATACATATGCCAAGTAAAAATTTTTGTATGTATACAATTTCTCTTTTAAAATATTCTTTGGAATAATAAGATGAATTAAATGTTTTAAGTGTAATTTCATAAATATATCAGTTTATAAAAAAATAACACACATGTTTAAACTATAATATATAAAAAGAATTCATAATGAAAAATAATTTAAATCAAAAAAGTGATTCTCATAATTATTTCTCTTAAAAAACCTGGCTGTTAATATTTTATGTACTTTACAGAAATTAATATTTTTAGATAATATTAAAAACTTACATTTGATAATGATGGATTCCAATTTGCTATTAGTCTACATTGATACAAAGTGGATTGTCTAATTTCTTCATCAGTAAAATAAATAGAATCTGTGACTAGAGTAGGACCATGGATGTATCTGTCACACTTTGCTAAATTCAGAGAAGCAGACTGACTGCCTTGATCCTTACCAAGATCTTCATACTGAATCTTTTCTTCTAATCTTATCTGTTAAAAAAAAAAAGCAATTAAAAAACTAAATCATATAGCAATTCATTAATTAATTTTATTTTAGTTTTTATTACTTTTTTAATACTTCTGTGTTGTTCTAAATCAGTTGGTTCTCTACTGTTATTGAAAGTTTGTTTCGCATCTTTCTCATTTTCATTGAGTTTTGAATTATTTATTGATTTACTATTCACTGCTAATGAAGCTTGATTATTTTGACAAGTTGAATTAAGAACCATCATAGAATGATGATTGAAACGACGAATCATAGATAAATTAGCATTAATACTTGATTGAACGACATCTGCAGTTTTAACTCCATAACCCTAGAGAAAAGAACAAAACTTTTAATTTAAAATAAAGCATTTAGTTTTGAACAGCTTTTATTCAAAACAATCAGTGAAAAATTATTCAATAATTTTAATGCATTATTTTTAATAATTACTGCAGAAATAATAAATTATTTCCAATAAATATATCTTAGTAAATTAACATATATTATGTAAGTAAACATTATATTTTAAAACATCATTAAATCATAGTTTAAGGGGTTAAAAAACTTCCAACTTTGAGTTAGCAATACCTAAATTTTTCATTTTTCTGTAGCCATAAATTTCTATCTATCAAGCCATTTTTCAAGAATCTGTTCATAGAGTGATTATAAAATTGTACACAGTTTATGATGCATTTGAAAGCATTGTCAAGGCATCCCCTTGTGTCCAACCACAATGCCAGTAACATACTGTATCAGTGAAAGGATGTCAACATGAGGTTGTAATGGTGTGTTGTGTATAGCATAGTATTTTTTATTTTAATCATCTGTACTCACACAAAATATAACAGAAAACAAGTAAAACAGCAAAACCATATTTGGGACAAGACTATGTCTTGGAGACTCACTGCTAAGCAGAATCACTTTACAGCTTGCTATGCTAATCAGAATAATACTAAAACAAGTAAAACGGCAAAACCGTATTTGGGACAAGACTATGTCACGGAGACGGAATCACTTTGATGCTCAAGGCAGGTCTCGTTCTCATTCTCCAATCTTCTTTGGTATTGCTGCTTTTGGGTGTGATTATTCAAACTTTGCCAGCTACGACCACGATGCATTTTCGATGAAATTAACCTATCCAATTTCAAAATTTCTCTCCGTTGCATGTCGGCCTGGGTTGAATTTTTGTCAATGCGCAACAAAAATTTCCCGTTTTTGAAAAAATAGTATCGTGGCTATTGTATCATCCGAAATAATTTTTTTTATTTTGCACAAACAATATACAGTTTAACCCGATTATAACGTCATCAGATGTAACGACAACCCTAATATAACGTCAAATTTTTATCGGTCTCACGATTTTACTATACTAGATAATGTTAAAAAAAACCTACTTGTAATGACATAAAACCCTGTTTAATGTCATATTTGAAGCACTCAAATTTACAAATTTTATTTAACAAAGAAAATACTACGTGTTCAGTCCTAGGGTCAGAGTTCACTTCTTAGAACGACTGTGGGTGGCACTCTCACCACCTGACTTCGGTTTGCCTGTTTGTAGAGAGAGTCGCCATTTTGTATTTTATTTTGACTCGGTTCTTGGTCCCCCAACTACCTACAAGTCTGGATTTTTTTACACGCAAATGATTTTGGCACCTAATACTCTGTGCCAAATATCAACTCTCGATATGTACTCCATACCTCTATGCTGGTAACATAAAATGGCAGTACGATTTTATAAACAAGACATAGTCTTGTCAACAAAAATCACAGACCTATCAGAGCTGAAGATACACAAAAAATAGGTTTGAGTTAGGATACTGACAATTTTGACTTAATGCAAGCATATTATATGAAATCTGTGCCAAGACCAGTAGACAGTTTCAAATTAATGCAATTTGACTTAGTGAGGTTTACTGCATATGAAGAAGTAAATAGGTAAAATGTAAGTACTTTAAAAATAAATTATTATTGTCTTATAGTTGAACTATTAAAGTAGTTTTCCAAATTCTCAGCATTAATAAATATTACACATTAATTCAAATTTGAATTATTATTATTTTTTAATTAAAAATTAACTTGCCTAACTTCAACTTACATCGTCTAAATTTGTGTCTTCAAAATTAGTAACATCTACAAAAGGATCTTGAATGCCATCTTTTAATGCATTTTTGATATCTTAAAAAAGAAAATACTGATAAGTTAACAAACCATAGTGCATAATAAAAAAATTTTCAAAAACTTTATTACCTTGCTCATCATATTTAACACATTCTGTAAAAATATCTTTTGTTCCAAGACTTAATCTATCTCTATGAAAATAATGAGATTGAAAGAAACGTGTCCAAAATTCACTTTCTGATAACTTGTTAGGAACATTTTCCATGTGCTTTTTTTTAACTATTAAATTAAAATTATTATTTTTTAAAAATAAAGTATAAATGAAATATTACATCAAATAATCCATTATTTCAAATTGTGTTGAGTGACTAATGAAACACAAACTTTGGTTAAAATTATTTATACTTTAAATTAAAACCTCACATTTAATTACAATACAATCAATTTTCTAAAAGACTGAAATAAAATTTATTAATATAAAATAGAATTATTATTATTATAAATTTTTAAAAATTTTTGGTTCGAAACTTAGAAAATTGATTTTACATAAATTAAAAGAATAGTTTTAATTTAATATATAAATAATTTTAATTAAGAAACATTTTTGAAACAAAAATCTTCACTGAAACTGCTTTTACAAAGAAAGCTGCTTGTCATAACAAATACACCACTTTTATATAAGATTAAAATATCAATTCCTTCCTTAAAAATTTTAACTTTCAGATGAAAATATTACTACATACATGTTGCATAAAATTAACACACAGTATATACATGATCTTTAAAGAATAATTTACTTAAATAAATTAATACTCAAAAATACCTTAGGAAAATATCTTTATATGTATATGTTTTGCAATTAACAAAAATATTAAAATATTTGTTAAAAAAGTATAGATATTGTTAAAAAAGAACTAGAACAAATAAATGATTAGTCACTTTTTAAAGTAAAGAATTGTTAAAATTTAAAAGAGATTAATCATTATTTATTTCTATTTATAAAAAAAAAAATGAAATTATTATTATTATTATAAATCTTTATCATTTGAATTAAAAAATACCTGCTGGATATGTCCTAAATATTGATTCTATGATATCAGCAGTTATATTATATTTTAAACCATTACAGCCATCTGTTTGTGGTTTAATATCTGCTAAAAATGCTGCAGACACACCTACTTCTTGTTGTTCATTACCTTCTTTATTATTACTTTGCCTTTTCTGTAAAAATGAAAATTTATATAAATGATCAATATACATCTAATCATTTACAGTTAGATCAGAATATATTAGTTGAGTTACTAGAAACTTATAATACTATCATTATAATTACATCAACATATAATGCTAAATATATTACTTTATAAATTTATAACAAACTTATAAAATTTAATAGTTGAACACTTTACTTGCATTTAATACATAAAATCATTTTTGTTTTAGTTTTTCCCATATTACTAAAATATCAATTCCAGGTATTACAAGCTATGCATAATATTTTTCATCAATTATTATATAACAATTATTTGTAAAGTAGAACATTGGCTGTAATACTTAAGATCAATTTTGTCATAAGTTGAATATTGCATCCATATCTACACAAAGAAACACTATGTAGCACAACTTTGAGTAACTTGACCTGCATCAAGCATTTGATCAATTTTAGTTTATGCTTTGGCATTGACAATACAACACAAAATCTCAGAAGATACTGAAAGTTTGTTCTACACAAGCAAATCAGATTTCACTGATGTTTTAAAAAGTTATGATGCAAAAAAGTAAATTTTTTGTCACAAAATATACCATTTAAAAATTTTTTGTTCTGAAAATTGGCTAAAAACAGAAAAAAGGTATGCCTTATATTCAAGAAGATATTACGTTTCCATCTCAAGGAAAAGTATGGCAATTAGTCAAAAAAATCACTCCCAAGAAAGTTTTACTCAGGACCTTGAAACATCAAGAAATGCAAAAAAAATTGGGGGATTTTTTCTGTATGTATGGACGTGTGGGGCACGATTTTGTTCACTGTGTTTGAAGCTTAATAACTCCTGTGCTTTTTGTCAAAAATTTTTGAAATTTTGCAGGGAGGTTTGTATATTAGGAGATTGATGCTATTAAATTTTGGTGGTTAAAGGTTGATAGGTTAGAGAGATAAAGGGAATTGTGTGTCATATCTCAAGTAGGGTCAGACTTAATGTTGATTTTACACATTACTAACATTTACAATTTTTTATGAAAATCATCCTTACCCTCAAAATTAAGCTTTTTGCCATTTTATAATAATTAAAAATATAAAAATGTTTTTAATAAAATATTATAACAGATGATGACACCAAAATTTAAAATGTTGCTAGGAAAGTTAAGTAACTCATTGCAGAATTTTTTTTACTAAAAATGAGTTCCAAAAATAGGAGTGCTGCTTATATTCTGATAAATACTGTACTTTCATCATGTATAAAACAGATACCAATGTACAGGAACTTTGTGACATTTGATTTTATTTCACTATACAACATGGACTTGGGATGCATTTGGGATAAAATTCCTTCCAGCCAATCATACATATAGTCCTGTATCATATTACAAGTTTACTTTTCACACTGGTTTCAATCAGTATTGAGCCACAACAACCAAAGATTAAACTTAAATCAGCTATTATTTAATTATAATTAGTTTTATAAAAAAAAATAAATTACATGCAACTTGATTTTTTTGCTTTAAGTGACCAATAGGTATTAATTATTATATAAAAATAAAAGTCATTTTGATTGTTTGAATAATTATGACAAATTTGTATGTAACGTAATGAATGTTTCTATAAACTTTTATAATAATCTATAAGCTATAAATTTTTTATACAAAGACAGTTATAAAAAAATCTGACTTGAATATAACAAACTGAAAATAACTTACAACTAATCAAAAATTCATTAATTTCAAAGAAAACTACGTCTAGAAATAATATTTATTTAGTTTTATGATGTATTAATGATCTAAAATGCTATTTCTGTATAATTTTAGAACATTTTTAATTAATTAAAACATTTACAAAATTTTAAGGAACATTATACAGTATGTAGAATGTTCCTTAATTAATAATGAAAGGCTGAATAACTTGCAGTTCTTGAAATAATAAAGTTTTCTTAATTTACTAATAAATAAAAATAAAATATATTAAAATGCAAATTTTAATTGGTTGAAATATATTAT